CCAAGTTTCTGAACCATTACACAGAAGAACTGACTTGACTGACATTAGTGTTGAAAATCTGGATCTTGTTCACGCTTTATGCTGAGTGCAGTGCAGTGCAGTGCAGTGTAGTGTAGTAGATCTCCACACTGATTTCAGGTTAATGCGGGAAGGAGTGTCTTGCTGTCTTTCCGATCCTGGCTGGCTGGCTTTGACGTCCTCATCTGTGCCTGTACCGCCTGTTGTTGAAACGATGCTGCCTTGCCTGGAAAGGTAGGTGAAAGAGACTACTTCCTTTAGGTTCCTCTCATCGATGGTGCTTGTTGTTGTTGTTGTTATTGGTTGGGTGTCTTCATCACCTCTGTATTCTCTACGTTCACCTAAGGTCCCATCTTCTTTCGCCGCCCTGCCTCTCCTGTCAACTAGTTGGTTTTTACCTGTAGAGTTTGTGCGACAAGACATTAGACATAAATTATCATTGGAGAAATCCAAATCTCTCAGGGTCTTCTCATCGTCCAGCCAGCATACGCCCCTCTTCTCGTTCCTCACAGTTTGTTGTATTATCCAGTCCAGTCCAGTCCAATACAGTCGAGTCGACCACAGTCAGGAAGACCATCAGTGATAGTAGGCGGCAGCCTTGTCTTACTCCTGTCTTCACTTCAAAGGTGTCACTGAGCTTTCCGATTGTGAATCACGTGGCATGTGGCTTCTTCATATACCTGTTGATTGAGGTTGATGAAACTTAGTGGCATTCCGCAGTGTTGAAGCAACTGCCTGCCGAATTACTTCTCGGTCGACTCTGTCGAAAGCCTTTTCAAAGTCGATGAAGTTGAGGAAGGGAGTTGACTTCTAATCCATACTCTGTTCTGCGATGGTGCGTAGCGTAGCTTTGCAATTTCATCTGCACATGATTTGTTCTTGCTGAATCCATCCAGCCAGCCTGTTCCGGTTGTAATTTTGAATCCAGAGCATGTTTCAGTCTCTCCAGTATGATGTGGTTTATTATTTTGCTTGCTTGGTGCGGATATGAGAATGAATCCTCTGCTGTTATTGCAAAGACGTAGGTCTCCCTTCTTTATAAGTTTGACAAGGCAGCCTTCTTCGGATCTGGACGAGTTGCAGGTGGTGATAGTAGTTGTAGATTCAACAGCTTTTTGAAGTGGTCAGCCGTCAGCTCCTTTGTTTCTCCTCCTTCATAACTAGCTTCCCTTCACCATCTTTCATTGGTTTCATCTGTGTTGATCTCTCCCACCCCAGACAGTAAACCGGTTATTTAATATAATGTTATCAGGTCTCGGTCTCCAATACAAGCAGACTGTTCTGCTTCACTTGCCAATGTGTCATAGAAGTGTCTTTTGTCCTTCCGCACACTCTTCTCCACTCCTTTGTCCAGTGTAGTGTTTTGTAGGTTGTGTTCAGTTCTTCTTTTCGTTGTTCGTCCCTGCACTGCACAACAGTGCACTGGCTCATCTTCTGCTTCAACATCGTCCTTTCCCTTCCTTTCTCCATCAGCTTCCATGTGTCCGTCGACATCCATTCCTTATCTTGGCGCTTCTTCTTCCTTCCTAACACGGTTATGCAGGTTTCTTTCCATATCTCTTTCACAGATTTCCAGTGTTCTTCCTTGCCCGATCCTTCAGGGATGTTGCTCCCATTTCGTCCTGATGACTGACCAACGTGAAGATGTTCTTTGTAGTTTCGTCCTTCAGTTCAGTTTGCGTTCAGAATTCCTTTCATATACAAACACTTTCATGACAACTGTCAATCGAAAATGTTGAATGCCACCTTCAGGTTAATGTATATTGTAAGTGTTAGTTACCGGTAATTATGTATTTAATCCGTAACCTGACGAAGGGTGAAAACGTAATGGAAGCACTCTCTCTCATGTCTAGAAACTGCTTGGTTCTCTCGACTTTGCTGTTCTTGAGCTCCAGTAATTTACCGGATAACTATCTATCCTGGGGTTTCACACGTGATGGTAATGGAACTTGTTCTCGTATGACTGTCACAAGAAGACTTCTCTCTGTTCTAATAGCCTGGGATAACTAGTGATCTGAACCAGTCTGAACCAAATAACTCTGATTCCAACAGTTCCATACATTTAATACGTGAAAATGTATGCATTACATGTTTTTTTCTCTCAAGGGATTATAGTCTTCACCGAACACAAGTAGTTTACAGCATGCACTTGGTTCATCCAATCCTTGAGAATTCGAGGACAGGCAGAATATTCTTCATCAGTACATCTATGAAAAAGTTAAAGAAATCACAAAGGTGGCCATGCCAAGTTACTGTCAGCTATTGCTAGAGAGGGTCGCTGGGAGGTTTGCCCTCTTTCCAGCACATGCATTTGAACTGTAGTCAAGCACTGATTCGAGCGAACGTATGTCTGCATCTCAATGGACGCAGAAGAACTACAATTACAAGAATATTCCGACCATAGCTCGACAATGAGAACAATAGGGCTGTCCTCAGTGAAAAACTAGCTAGAGAGAAATCGGAACAGGACAAGCTCACTTACCCAGAGTAAGCCGGGAGTCATCTCCAGTCTGCTGTAAAACAGCCTCGATACATCTAGCTAACTCTCGGAAATGAACAGAAAAGTCAGTGGATCTCAAAAGCTTCTTCTAAACCGGTGGACTCACGTGGAGACATCTCTCCAGTCCAATGAGGAGAGGAAGCAACTCAAACGTACACATTGTAAACAATAAGTGTGAGTATTGATGGGTAGTGGAGATTAAAGAAATATAAAAGACAATGACTATAGGTAGCAGTAGAGTTATTCAGACTGATCACGACAAGCGAGGCAGGAAGGTCAATGGTTACTGAGACAACAGTTGAGAAGGACAGGTCTGTGATTCATTGCCAAGGGAGCTGAACACTTCGAAGACCAGTCCACCTAGCGTCCACATTTAATTTTTGGTTGCCTGCTATCCAGTAGTTTTCCAATTGGAGCATTGTAATAAGCCCAAATGGTCATGCATCAGTTGAGAAGGCTGTAAGTTACCTGGAACGAGGAAGGGCAACCGGGTTAGATGGGCATGTAACAAAGGTATTTTGGTACGGCCTTCGAGGATTGTTGTTAGGATTAACTAGAGTATTACCTAGCATATGGAAATCAGATTTGATCTGCCCTGCCTGATGTCGATCAATGATTTTCCAAGACCAAAAGAGAATGAAAGCTTCGTGCTATAAATATCAAGAAATCAGTCTGACGAGCCTAGGGTCTAAGATTCTAGGCTCTATAATTATCACACATCTAAGCGGAGCTCACGAAAAGGTTAAACATCAGGTGCCAAGTGTGTAACATTCATCTCAGTCAACAGAGAGATCTACTGGCAGCGTGTTGAAGGTGTTGAGGAAGTGAATTACACCGTTGAAAGCACTGCATTCTAACACTCATGGGCGTCTTAGAGCCTATAGTGAGCTATCAGGTGACTTGAAATTGTCGACTATTGTTTGTCAAAGATATCCATGATCCCGATTCTTATCTAACCTTATCATTGAAGTACTTTTGGGGGTCACCCTCGCTCTGTTTGAGCCTTCAAGGAATGACCGAGTCACAAGAGATTCCGTAGCGGAAACAGATTACACAGATGGCACAGTCCTATCAGGTGATGTTAACAAGATGCAGAGTCTTCTGAACACATTAAGTGGTAATTTGAGAATGTTTGAGATGCGTTTCTCATCACGCAAATGCAAACTGTTACTCTCGGACTGGTCTGTGTTGATGCGTTGGCTAAATATAGTGAGTTGGTAGAGGGTATTGACTACTCCATATGAAAAGTCAGATCAGGTTTGATTGGTCACTGACAGACAAAATCTCCTCACCGACACAGAAGCTTCAACGAGCTTCCGTTAACTTACGCTATAAATGGTGCCATTGTGATATCCAGTTGTTGACTAAGGGTCACGTGTACTGCATTGTAGCTCACTGTCTTCTGCTGTATGGCTGTGAAGCATGGCTATTAAGGAAGAGGACAAGAGAATTTTCCAGGTATTGGACCACCATTGACTTCGTAGTATAAGCCATGTGTTGAGGTGTCGTCACGTCAGTAATGCAGGACAGAGGTTTAGAGTTTCAGGGAGGAGAGAAAATTCAGTTGTTGTGAATCTTCACCGACTGGTGTGGTCAGGACATTTGCTACGCACGCCTTTTTGCCGTATTTCTCGTCGCGCGATGTTATCTGTAGTGAGTTTAGGTTTGAAACAAGTTGGGGGCAAGCAGACTGAACCATGGCATTAGTGCATGAAATCGTTGACTGTTTTTCTGAGCCGTCTAAGGAAGTGTAAGCGTATTGACGGTGATCCGTGTGACAACAAAAACCTGGAGTTGGCGAGCGTACATGATATGGCTCAGAATCGATCTCCAACGTAGACGTATCCAAACATTATCCTCAACCTAATCGACATGCTGAATTGCAGCCATTTTATTCTTCATTGTTTTATTATAAACCTCTGAGGGGATAAGAATTTTCTGGAAGCGCCAGATGCATCTTACTGACGAGTACTACTATTCACGAAACCTGTGTCGAGCTTCCTGCATATCTCTTCCGGTTATGTAAAATCAACCAAAGTACAACGTGTTTCCACATAAGTGAAAGGGCTAAAGCGAATGTCCGGCGTTAATCACCGGATTGGTGGATACTGAGGGAAAACCCTGATTCCAAAGAACCCAGAATTCCTATTTCCAATGTCAGCCTCAAAGTTCGATTTCCAACTGCTGACTTAAGTGAACACTAGCTTATCTTTCTACCGAACTTCTTACTCCCAAAGTATTTCGCAATATTTTATTTACCGTGATTACAAATTTGTACGTATTTCTAATCTCATCATTCAAATCAAAGGGAATATACTTGGATAATTCCAGTCCAAATTCAAATTTAAGGTTGATCAAAATATCAAAAAATTAGAAGGTACACTAAGACAGTAAGTTTCCTCTCACTCAGATAAGCGTCATCAACTTTAACAGTTAGTATTCAACATTGAGAGAAGCAAGGAAAAACAAACCTCAGACTCACTTTTAGATAGTTTCAAAATACTGGCGTCAAAATGGACAAACAACATTCCTTGAGACGGTCGAAAATGCTTAGGCTCAATTACTTCAGCTGAAACTTGTGCCATGACAGATGTGGCGCCTATCTTGACAACACAACAACCAGAGACATCGTGGTCTTTCGCCTGGGGGAAACGAAAGCTAATCTCACGATATTCATTTGTTGATCTACCATCTAAACGACAGCCAGACACCAGCATCTCTGTAAGAGTGTCGATTTCCCGAGTAGGTAACATGATTCGAATATGCAGGTAACTGTTTCAAAAGATAAAATACAAATGTTACATATTTGAAATATCATAAGAAAGTAGTCGATATCTGAATTACATCAGAAATACTATAACCACATAAAGAGCTGAAGATCATTTGCTTATGCAGTTGAATTGAACCAATGGGTTGTGGACAAGAAAACATTATTTTTCAAATTATAGGAAGATACAAATGATCAATAGCCATTAGACAATAAGTGTAGCCTATGAGATTATTTTGAGTTCTGATATTCATAGGAATAATTAAAATAGACGAACAAAAATCAGTATAGAATCTCGTACATACGTACATTGGTTCAAGCTGCACACTTCACATCAGCATGCAAAGAAAAGGTGGATAGAAAAGCACAGAAAGCCAAAGGTGTATGCAACGGAAACGAATTTGAAAATCAACGTTAGTGCAAATATTCAAGCTTTGGAAAACGTAAAAGAGCAAATACATCTGCGCTATTGTCATCAAAAGTCTGTAACCACTCATTCTCATGGTCTCGAGAACGCTAAATAGGCAGTCCATATCTTCCAGCACGGCTGAGACCAATAGTCAGAAGTTTCATGCACCACCGCTGTCTTGGTTTGATCACCATCAAGCTTCTGTCAACCTAATCTAACTACAGATAAACTTATACGTTATTGTATGTAATGGCTCAGTGATAGCAACAGATTTTCAAGCCACCTCATCCGCTGAAGTTACACAATCTCATCGATTAGCTTGCCAAGTACCCTTTGCCTGACCTCAATATTCCCCACGCGTGTGCAGTGCTATGAAGACACATGTAATCTATTTAAAACACACTTTCAACGGCCATGTCTCCTACAGCCGTAAAACAAGACAGATAGGACTGTAGAGCAGTATACTTATCCTTTAAAAGGCAGTTAGATATCTTGCTGGCGCCACAGATGGCAAATTGGCAAATGCCAGATATGCCTCCCCTGTTTCAACTGATTTTGCGTCAGCGATCAGCCCGTTCGACCTGATGCAACTCCTGAAGTAAGTGAAGTGGTCAACATATTCCACCACTTCGCTCTCTATTATTAAACTAGGAGTGCTTGCAGCAGCTCAGTTCTGGAGCATCATTATACATCTGACAGGTGAGAAACGAATTCCAAACATACTCAGATTTCTGCCCAACGCATCCAGAGGCTCCTGCATTTTGTCAGCCTCTTCATTCGGCAGGACAATTTCGTCTGAATACTCCAAGTCAACCAGGTGACATCCAAGAAGTAGATCAATCCATTTGAAGTCAGACGTACCTAGGGTTATGTCCATCAGTATGTCTATAGCGAAGTTGAAAAAGAAAAGGTAACAGTGGGCATCCTGGGCGGACAACAACGGCGTCGTCAATTCCGATGACAACTCTCCGTAAACTGTGTGACTTCGAGTAGACAGCAATGACTAGTGTTACTTACTTGCTCCGCACTCCTTTCAGTTAGACAATGCGACATCTCACGGTCGACAAAGTCAAATGCAGACTTCAGGTCAACATACTTGGCAAGTGTCGGTCACCCATAAGTATGTTAGTGTTCCAGAACCTGTCAGTTTGAAATCTGCCTGCTTTTCTCGAGTTTGTTGTTCCCGAGCTCCAGTTAAGCGTTGGGTAACTATGGTCCTAGGATCTTGGACACAATATTAGTCAAACTAATCTCCCTACCGTTGTCACAAGATTTCTCTCCCTTCTTACAGACTGGGATGAATAGTGAAGTGCACCAGTCTGATGGCACTACGTCTGATTTTTATGCAATACCTAGTACTTCCGTTACTTTACTCAGTAATTTCCTACCTCTATCCTTGAAAACTTCAACTGGCAAACTGTCATTTCCTGCTGCTTTGCATTGTTTGTGTGAAAAAGACTGCTCAAATTCTAGGAGGGCTGGAGAAGCAACATCTACTTCCCATTCACGCTCAAACTGGATATTGGTCAACTGAAGCGCTTCTGTGGATCACTTGAATTGTGCTTCAAAGTGTTTTGCCCTACGTTATAGCTACCTGTTCTGGGAGGTTATCAGTGTTCCATCCTTTTCGTTGTTTACACTAACAATCGTCATCTTTTCGCCAGTGTCCTTAATAAGCCTACATAGTTGCCTAGTGTTACCCAACGCTAATGCCTTCTCCATCTTTCTCGCTTTCGCTACCCAACACTGCTAGCGATAATTGCGAAGACTTTTGGTAGGTCTACTTTTAAGCTGTTTTAGCTCAGCATTTCGGTCAGAGCCTGCTGGAGTGAGCCTTTTCGCATCAGTCAGTTTTGATGACGTTGCAGAAATCCATTGACGTTTGCTAACCTTCAAGTGTAGGTTACCAACTGTCTTTACCGCTATTTCTACAGCACCCTTATCATCACAACAAGTTTACTCACTATGACCGTTGCTGTCATGTTCAGATAAATGCTTATCTAACTCCTCCTTAAATACTCCAACGTCCTCATGTTCCAATCCATCATACACAGGCTTTACTGTTATCTGCGATAAGTAAGGCACAAACACACCGGCCCGTTTTAGTGCATGATCGGAGTCCAAAAACTGGTACTCCAGAAAGAACGGTAATCCTTCATTGATCATCGCCAACAATGGCTGGTAGCAAGATGACCTATCTGTGTCCATCGTTGGTTTGAAGTCAGAGGACGCCATGTGGAACACTGTCTCTTCCTTCTTATGCTTAAAGTTAGTCCCGATCAGAAACAAATAATTAGCAGAACAAAATTGCAACAGACACTCATTGTTATCAGTCCGTTGGCATAGGATTCCGTAAATACCTCCTAGATACCTCTCCGATTGACTCAGCTCGGCTTCCCTACTTGCACGTTAAAGCTACCTGCCAATATGACTACATCTGAACGTTTTGATTTCGGTAGCAAAATTGGTAACTTTTCATGGAATTTGTCTTTTGCATTATCTGAACTCGTCGGTGAGTGCGTAGTTGGAGAATACCAATAGACATTGGCTAGTCCTTTCAGATCATTCAGTCGAACAGCACATAGATGGCTGTTGACTGGTATCCAGTCGAGGTGAGCACTTTCTGCCTTATAGTTCAATGTTATGCCTGCACTAGCGAGTCCATGAGAGCTAGTCTTTGAGCCTCTGGATACTCTGAGGTGAATTTTCAACATTCACTACTATGGTCAGGTGAGTTCATTTTAATAACCACAATCGGGTCCTGCATACGTGTCTCAGAAACAGCATACATCTGTGGTTAGATATTCTAGGGTTTCGGCAAGCTATGCTTGTTGTTTGACTTGACACAGAGTTCGGACGTTGAAAGCTCCAAGAGGAAATCAATGGGGGGGAGGACTTAGGATACTAGGAATGAGGTTTCGATAGTTTTGGTCGTTGGCAGTGGTTTTAGAGTGTGAAGTTAGCGAATGTGTAGGAGGCTTGGTACTGGTATCCATAACTGAAGGACAGGAGACAGAGTTGAGGATAGCTTATTTTGTATTGTGTACTACTGAAAGCATGCGGGCGTTTGACGGTTCCTAGCTACTAATATTATGAACGGCTATTTATCTTCAAGGTACCTGAAAGAGGAAAAGATTCGTATAACTGCAGAGCACGTGAAACATTTACCTCAGGCATGTCACACAATCTTTTTCAGGTTATTGTTTTGGGGTCTGGTTGCTCTAACGCCGGACAGAGAAAACCAATATCACCGGTACCGGAAGAGCAGGAAGCCAACATTTTTAAAACCCCCTTCCTGTTGGAAAGCCAGCATCGGGATACCGTTGATTATCTCAGTGAAACACCTTACTGCTGTCACGCTTCATCCAGCTAGTAGCAGTACGACTTCCCCCTCAGACCCTTATCATGATGTGGTAACTTACATTGTAACGGTAACTGGCTTTCGTTTTACCACTATCCAGTAGACCTTTCTGGTATGGTAGGACCTCGAGGCAAAAAGCTTTACAGCCAATGTAACTCCCTTTTTAAGTGTGATATGCAAGCCTGACCACCACGTCAAGGTAGCAACTATCGGTCGGGCTGTCATCTCATGCTAAAAAGTTCCGTAGTCTCTCAGATCCCATGCAGAAAGTCATGATGCAACAACAGATACCCAGCCAGCACAATTATCCATCTTTTCATTGTGCCACGTAATACACTGACCACCTCCTCACTTCAGCAATGGTACAATTAGTTATGCAAACTAGTTACATAAACTTCTCAACGACTCTCGAAAACCCACCTCCATGCACTTAGAGATGCTAATGATAGAACCTCAATGAGCAAAGGAAGCAGACAGAAGTTGAACCACTCAGCTAGATGAAAGCGTCAGGTGTGTACTTAGATAGCTAAATGTTAATCTGAATATGGCAACGATTTTATTTCTAAGCGTAGCATTAGACTGAGTGTGTTCTGGAAACACCGATAAAGACACATAGTAACCAAAATCCACAGGTTAGCAAGACAGTAAATTTCTGCAAACTCACCTCAACTGATTGATGCCAGAAGACTCATACAAATCAGCCTTGGCTACAATGAGCATCGAAAGCAGCTCTAACGTTAATTGACTCAGTCTTAACAGTTGTCCGAGAGAAGTGACCACTAGCACTGGTGGGTGGCAAACTCGGAAGACATAGACATGGAATACAAACGAACTATGACTGCAGCAGGATTGCAACTAGTTTCGATTCTTAGCCATGTGCGTTATCGTCTTAAGTCAATGAATTTGGGTAATAAAAAGTGCATAGAAAACCTTAGACTTAATAACTAGGGAAGATTTGTCATATAACAATGAAAATCTCATCCTGGCGAATGCCTAAATAGATTTAACATCCACTGGTTTTATAATACGACGCACACATTATGATCGCCCAATAGGTGGTTTAAGCACGGCATGAGTTCTCGACTCTACCACAATACCCTAAAGAATAGTTTACTTAACCTAAGGTTACGCTTTCATTGACAAACACCCAGCCGAAACCTGGACGGACAGTGTACTGTGGTACTTTAAGTCACTGAAGTTGAGAAGGCTGTTTTAAGCCTGAAAAGACGTTTACGAGTACGATTTGTCAGTTTGCAAACGGAAGTGTTTTGAGATGACGAAATAACACTGATTACTGAGTGTGACTTGAAGTTACTTCAGTCGAAGTAGCTTAATTTGCTTGTTGGTTGAGTTTATAAGAAGGCAATTCCCAATCAACAACCACATTAACTCTTCCCAACCAATTACTATCAGTTCGTTCAGTAAACTAACTTAAGGAAAAAATCTCCACGGCAATATATAGCAGTGGCCGGTTATTAAGCCTACTACTTTTGACACTGAAGATCAAATAGTTGAGTGTACTTCTACAATGTTATACAGTTCTTACAGTTATAAAGAAGCCTCAATATCAAAGCGTACTGAAAAGGGGTCGAAGGACATGACATTTGCACCAAGATTTCTTTGGCAAAACTGCATTCAGTGGGAAGGCAATCATATATTTCCCACACTCCTACTTCCCCTAGACAGCACTAAGCGTGGGTGCGCACCGTAAACTTGTGTCATCCCAAAACAAACTTTGGGCGCACTTACGAATTTCGGGGGAGGGGGGGGGGCTAAAGCTTTCCGTAATTTCCTATCAAAAGTTGCATTACAAAAGCTTTTAAGTAAACGAAAGCATTTGACTACAAAACCAGAGTTGTACATTGACGAATTTTCCGAAATAAGGGCTGTTTAAATGGAGGTAAAGTGATTTCTAATAAACTTCATGCGTATTGTAGAGACTTAGGAAGTTTAGGCACTTTTGAGGGGGAAAATGAGCGTCCTTAGATGTGCTCAATGGTTTTCCTAGGGTTTGGCTGAAAACTTCTCAAGTAAGCTCAAAGTAAGTGCTGACTGGTTCTTGCTGTAAAAACAGAGACGGTTCTTCAGGCCTAATGTGTGTTCGAAAAAAGCCAAACAAAGTAACATACTGCGGTTTCTGTCATCAGTGAAAAGGATATCAAGCGATTAGCCTGTGTTAATCCTTGTAATAGGTATTTCCAAGCAGATCCAGGTTTTTAGTTGGTTGAAGGTAATAGGCAAGAAGCCCTGGGTCTACCAATGCGCACCGCGGTGCTGAGATTCCTAGCCTGGTGGACACATTGAAAATATGATCGATAGAATTCGGTCTGCACTCAGGACTAGACAACATGAAATTAGTTGCACTCCCGTGACCAATCGATAGATCCAGATTTCTTGGACATTTTCAGCGATGTAAACACTCATTCAAAGAAGCTAAAATGCTCTTAGATGTACGAGATAAAATTTTACCACAATGTTTGCTAAATTACTGACCTACTCAGAACACAAATGTATGTATGCGTCCAAACAGGTACGTGTGATGTACCGCAAGCTTCCGAAAAATACACTCAAAGTACAAGGTGTAAGCAATATCCAATTTCGTTCAACCAAACATAGCAAACTAAGTGTTTGTGAACCCTCTCGTCTACGTCTTCAGACTTAAGTCTGTTTGCTCTTTTTGACTACGCAAATGTGCACTTCAGTTCTATTTGCTTTTCTGACTTCAGAGTGACACTTGAAACTATCCTAGCTTTGATTTATGAAACAGTCATATAGAAGTAGCATTCATCATGAAATGGCATCAGTTAAGGAACCACCGAAAATCTGGGAGCACTGGACAGGTGCTTCGTCCTGGTATGGGACTCTTCAACAGTACATGCCCACGACCCAGCTAGGGATCGAACTCAGAACCTTCAGGTTCCATTGTGAATGCGTTAACCACTAGGTCGGTCTCCAACTTCTGTCGATTCACGACATGGTGTGGCTGTTGCCCAAGGTATTCAGTTACCATCCGCTTCATTTCCGACTGTTTGACCCCACAGATCACGGCTTCTCATTAGGGCTTCATGATATCCATCTGGAAGCAAGTCATTAATGAGCGCTGGAAACCGACCCAGTGGCTGAATAGTTAACGCGTTTGCAGTGAAAACTAAAGGTCCTGAGTTTGATCCCTGGCCGATTCGTGGGTGAGCACTGCCGAAAAGTCCTTTTCTAGGAAGAAGCACCTGTCCAGTGCTCCCAGATTTTCAATCATTCCCCAACTAATGTCATTCTATGACGAATACTACTTCTAAACTAAAAATCTCCATTCATCTCAAAAGCAATTATGCCTTCAAAGGGCGCACAGGTATCTAACTGGCTGTTCTACCACCACCGTTATGTTACAAGTTGGCATGTAAGCTTAGTGCAATGTGGTTCCACATTAGAGTAGCTAATTTGATACATCACACAGTGAACTAAAACTACTTACTCGATGGAGTTCGGCTACACTAGAAAATATCATGTCATTATGTGATGTATCAGAATGGTTAGTGTGGTGTAGGACTAAGTTCTACCATAGTGCCATATTCCTATGCTGAAGAATTTTGATCTTGAGGTCTATAAAAACGTACACAAATGTAGCGTGTTTTGCACCATGGGTCAGTATTCCGTCCCATCAGTTCATTAAATGAGTCCCATGGGCGTAATCCTAGTGGAACTCCCTGTTTAACAGGCTGTGTTTATTTAGGAGTTCAATTTCTCTTCACGATTTACCAACTCGTCTGACTGCACCCCACCAAGCATTTCAGAATTAGACTTCACTTTGCCGTCGGACACGTCTCAATCGCTTACTGTACTGACGCCTCATATCTGAAAAAATTCTGTAATGTTTTTGCGAATGTACTTTGTAGGCATGGTCTACAGAATGCATCGTATCTGGCACCGGTGCAACCCACTCTAGTCGACTGGTCTGCGGAGAACGCGACAGAAAATCGAATTTAGGACAATAAGTTCCAGCCATGTATAGAACCGGTAGTTAAATATGCAGGTTACCGTTTTTTCCATTTCCGTTATTTTAGTGGAAACGGTTTGAATGGCAGATACCTAAACATACATTAAGCTGTTGTATTTCTGCATTTCCTGATTACTAGTACTGGTACTGTGATCGTGATCATACGTTAATTACAACGCTTTTATGTTCGGTGGTGAAATTTGTGTGTAAATATGGCACATGTCCACACCTGCAAACAACTTTTCATGCTGCTTCCCAACTTCCCACAACATTTATAGTTGCTTATTTTATTATCCCTAGTCTAGCGGTGAAACTTGGAACATTTCAGACGCACATGAAAGAAGTAATTAAAATCATCACTGGTTGGGGAGCGGATAGGGTGCACCAGATGAATGCAACAGACATCGTTTGCTCCCATACAATGCAGTAGGCATTCCTCAGCAAGTCTAGCGTGACGTGGAATTTTCCTGTGAAAGTGTGTAATAGGTAGTAGCTGGGAGGAAATTTATCTGCAAACGCCATGTGGTTCTAACTGCTGTGTGGTTGTAATACAGATGGATTGAGTGGATTGAGTGTGTTCATGGATTGCAACTTTTTTTATAGTTTATTCCAAGCGATATACGTCCATCTTTTTAAGCTTTTGTGATCACACATGTTTATGATGTTGCGTAGCGTTTGATACATCTATGTGAGACCAAGACGTAACTGCTAATCTAACGAGTTAGTCTTGGAGCAATTATAACCTAGTGACTATGCAGTATTAACAACGAATATTCATTTGTTTGTTAAGAGCACCGCACACAGAACATATTACGTAGCTGCAGCTGAATGGGAGAAGTTGTTATCGGTAAGGCATAAAAGGGTGTTGAAAGCTATGCCTTCATTACATCATGTCACCCCGGAAAGATTGTGCTAGCCTACTTGTGGATCTTATCCAGTGTAAACCGTCACCAGTCAGGACCTTTTAATGTCCTTTTTGTCATCCTTCACATGAGGGCTATGCCATGAGACAATCATCAGAGTCGCATGAAATCAATTCTTGATGGAGTTCCCTGCAGAAAGTTGTAAGGTGAATCATACTATCAAATGCCATTGCTACTGGCACTAATTGAATGTTACACATTGGATTTGTTTGTCTGACTTATGGAGCACAGTGATACAGTATTAGTTGATTGATGGCATTGTGAACATAATTATTATCACTCATAATCATATCAATGCAGTCACACTACTTTCGACATCTGATTTTTATAGTCCTGTCACCTCATATTATTGGTTTTATTGGTAGTAAAATTCTCCATATCTCTGGATTAGGTGTTGTGTCAATTCCATTACATGTGTTGGGTGTTGCTTCGATGAAGAAAGATTCAGCAATCAATCTCCCCCTCACTCTTGACCTTATTACGCTGAAGTTAAGTAAAGTGGTGTTAGCCTACCCCATGCATTGCAACAGCCAGGTGATTTTTCTAGATTATTGATTCTGTTGGTCTCTCTCATTCTATATTTAGCTAAATTCCTATGTTTCGCTAATCTAACTGACCTCTACCGGCTACTTTGACCTCTGTGCTTGACCTCACGGTCATTACACGGAATTTGATAGATTAGATTATTTTATTGAGTAGGTTCTATCAGATCCTTAAGCCGACAATACTTATAGCAGGCTTAACTGCCACCCTAATTTCAGCTTTGTTTAGGATCCCACGCACAGTTTCTGGTTTACCTTCCTTATAAGGTAACACAATCATTTAGACATTAGACTGTACGTGCCTTAACTTACATTGGATGAGATGACCTGAAGTCTGAATACCTGCTAGAATGTGTCGGTTTTCTGTAGTATCTAAACCACTAGCTGCTTTTCATTTTGTCCTACAATCCAAAGTAGGTAATTCTCTTTGTTTATTTTCTACCTCGTAAGTGAATTAGAGTGAACTACTACTAAGTTTATATACGTGAGGAAACTGTCGATATGTTCTGATTTCAACATGGTAGATGTGTCATCCACATATCGCTACCACATTTTAGGTGCAGAATTAAGCGTTGTGAGGCCATGTTTTGCCAGCTAGCCATAATCACATCTGCTTCGACCGAGGACACTGGGATTCCTGTTGCTACTCCATCTGTCTGTCTATATATTTTATATTGAAGCCTGGAGACTGTAGGAGAGAGGCAAAACTTTGCGCCTAATATGATCCTATCAACCGGTGCTTAAGTTCCGTAAGTTCTGAGTCAGTTTTTGGTTAACCTATGACTGCCTGTATGGCCATGTTGGTTGACACCTTAGTAGAAAACTTGTTACAGGTTAGGGAACAGTTTGCACGGTCGCTGAGGGAACAAAAGAAACTTATTAAATGCAATATATCCCTACGGCCAGAAGATCGGCAAGAATTCCGATCAGGTTGATTGGGGGGCATGCAGGTATGCGAAAGTTGTCTTCTGGTCTTCATATTTCTAGCTATTAAAAAACGGCAGTTCCCAGATTCTGATTATAATGCACAAGTTCGGTGAGTGTGTCCTTAAAATTCTCAGTCATCGAAAGGGGAGAGAATAAGACATACTGGATGATAAAACTGCAAGTTATTTCATATCCTTAACACTTCTTTCAAACTCGCCTGGTAAACTAGTTCATTAATTACTGGCCGGTCCTAAGCATGGATAAAGAGGGTATGTAGGACATACAGCTAGCAGTCCTAGCCCAGAAAGTCGATCCGATCTCCAGATAAACTCCAAAGCACATAGAAAATATAAAAAATAAAAATAAACTTATTCCCCAGTGGGATCGGGGAGACGAAATAACCACGGTTGGTGGAATACTTTCGGATGCCATCTGGACGATGTGTCTTCTCTCGATAGAAGCAAAAGTAAACATGGGGACATGGAATGTCTGTACAATGCTTGAGGCTGGCTGACAAGGCTCCCCAGATTGCAAAAGAGATGAGGAGGTATGGCATGGAAGTGCTAGGAATCTGTGAGGGATAAGCAGATGGAATGCAAATCGACTCTCCAAACTCTTAACTGGAGAGTCAATAACCTACTCCGATATTGTCACCCAGACGACAACAATGAACACACTGAGTTTAGGAGTGACGAGCATGATGTCCCCTTGAACAGCATTGAAGGCTCTCTCTCTCATGCAGTGGGAACCAATCTCCTCCTGCAGGATCAACATCATGACAGCAAGATGGATTCAACTCAAAAGGAAGGGAATTCACTATCATACAATGCTACGCTAGACTACACACCTACAAATAATGCAGATGAAGAGAAGAAGGAGGAATTCTATAGACAACTTCAATCAGTGCTGGACACGACCCCACCCACCTCAGATGGCGACATCAAAACTCATTCTGATGGGCGATATGAATGCCAAACTGGGAGCAGACAACACAGGAAGAGAGCTAACCATGGGTCGAGATGCACCACTCGGTGAAATGATGAGTGAGAATGGAGAACTGTTTGCAGACTTCTGCGCATTCAACAATTCGGTGATTGGAGTGAGGCAATGTGTACAAACACAGGGATATTCACAAGGCAGCGAGCGACATGCGTCTCACCAAATGGACACACTAGAAACCAGATCGACTTGATCTCAATGTGAAGAAAGTGGAGACGCAGTCAGCCTACTGGACACAAGATCAGATCAAGAAGGGGAGCAGACGTAGGCTCACATCACTCACTATCTGATGCAAGAAACCCACCTTCAAAATCAAGTTGAAAGACTTCAAAGACGTTAGCGATAGACGACCACAGTCGGGGTTCAACACCCAGAACACAAACTGAACTGAAGGACGAAACTACAAAGAACATCTTCACGTTGGTCAGTCATCAGGACGAAATGGGAGCAACATCCCTGAAGGATCGGGCAAGGAAGAACACTGGAAATCTGTGAAAGAGATATGGAAAGAAACCTGCATAACCGTGTTAGGAAGGAAGAAGAAGCGCCAAGATAAGGAATGGATGTCGACGGACACATGGAAGCTGATGGAGAAAGGAAGGGAAAGGACGATGTTGAAGCAGAAGATGAGCCAGTGCACTGTTGTGCAGTGCAGGGACGAACAACGAAAAGAAGAACTGAACACAACCTACAAAACACTACACTGGACAAAGGAGTGGAGAAGAGTGTGCGGAAGGACAAAAGACACTTCTATGACACATTGGCAAGTGAAGCAGAACAGTCTGCTTGTATTGGAGACCGAGACCTGATAACATTATATTAAATAACCGGTTTACTGTCTGGGGTGGGAGAGATCAACACAGATGAAACCAATGAAAGATGGTGAAGGGAAGCTAGTTATGAAGGAGGAGAAACAAAGGAGCTGACGGCTGACCACTTCAAAAAGCTGTTGAATCTACAACTACTATCACCACCTGCAACTCGTCCAGATCCGAAGAAAGGCTGCCTTGTCAAACTTATAAAGAAGGGAGACCTACGTCTTTGCAATAACAGCAGAGGATTCATTCTCATATCCGCACCAAGCAAGCAAAATAATAAACCACATCATACTGGAGAGACTGAAACATGCTCTGGATTCAAAATTACAACCGGAACAGGCTGGCTGGATGGATTCAGCAAGAACAAATCATGTGCAGATGAAATTGCAAAGCTACGCTACGCACCATCGCAGAACAGAGTATGGATTAGAAGTCAACTCCCTTCCTCAACTTCATCGACTTTGAAAAGGCTTTCGACAGAGTCGACCGAGAAGTAATTCGGCAGGCAGTTGCTTCAACACTGCGGAATGCCACTAAGTTTCATCAACCTCAATCAACAGGTATATGAAGAAGCCACATGCCACGTGATTCACAATCGGAAAGCTCAGTGACACCTTTGAAGTGAAGACAGGAGTAAGACAAGGCTG